TCTGATTCTTTGATTTGTTTCAAACACGGTTCGAATCTTTATTATTTACTTGAAAGAAAATTGATTTCAGAATAGATAAAGATGTTCGAGCTTTGTCAAATAAAGGAGTTCGTCAGGTAACAATGTCCGATTATTATTTGCTAAACTAAACTATCTTAATGTTTGTCTTAACTGCATAATTTCTGAGGGTGTTACACTCAGTTTATTGCTTCGTCAGTTTGAATAGTTGACTCTGGTTGTATCCAGAAACGATGAATACTATCTGTAAGAATTCCTGACTTTTTCCTGACTTCATTATTTTAGAATGACCGGATGTTCTTTTCGGCTGCTTCCAAAGCGACAGTGATAGTGATCAATCAGCTGAAGCTGAATTTGCACGTATATTCACTAAATACTACGATGAAATTGGCGAATATTTTCCAGAATTTTTGCGATTAAAAGAATTAATAAGACTAGGTGCTCTCTCACGTATTATTCAAGGACGTTACGAAAGTCAGCGTGAATTGGTTACTCGAATTGAAAACGACACAGATTTGGATAATTATCTAAGTGACTTAAAACAAAAGATCGGCCGCTATCCTACTGAATCGAATGAAGTCAATGAAAAGATAATAAATGCAATATCAAAGAATTTGTGCAAACAATTGTACTGTAAAAAGTATTCTTAAACCGTGTTTGTTAGGCTGGTTAACTAACAATCGACAAGAAGCACTTTCAGAATATCTCAAAAAGTCGTTAATTCAGGAGAAAGCTAAATTAAAGTTTACAATTGAGAGATTACATATGTATCACGCTGATGAGCGTGATCAAGACAGTGAAATGGGTATCGATGCAAATAGAAGCGCCTGGGTACCAGCAGCTTTTTCGTCTGCAGTCAGATATATTAGGTTGTTAACCAAGTTCTGAGCGCTAATATGTTTCGAATAACTTTTCACAGAAATGAGATAGACACCTGCGGTTTTCACTATTGAACAGTCAACGCCTAAAGACATGTTTTTATAAGCAGAAACTTGTTTCAAAATTTCCTGGAAGTCCAATTTTCCAGAGGATCTTTGGAAAACTAGCTCCGTTCTCAGAAAACTAACATACAATATTAGCAATATTTTTGCATGCGTAGATAGTCCGGAGGTTACTCTACAAAATTATGCGAGTCCCAGCTCTCCAGCTATCGTCGTTCTGACAGGGTTCGCTTTCCCCGAACACGTGCCTATCTCCGAGTAGACGTCCCTGGGAATCTCGAAATGCTATGGAATATAGGTAGTCGACTACGCTGAGCATAGTGATAACATTTGTTTCTATGCAGAAATGAAAATAACTTCGCCGGAGGCATTTTTGTGAAAAATCGATTTTTCGCATGTTACTAGCAAAAGTTAAAATCCTTATATGTCGGTCAGATCTCATGCTGACTCAACGAAACTTGGGATTCTGATTTTTTTTTCTGGTAGTTAACAACCTAGTATCTTCCATATGTAGGCTGTTTCAAACCAAAACTTAAAAGTTCGCATGTTGGCTGTTTTTATCACTGAAGTAGCCAACTTTCCTCTTAGAGAATCCCTCACTTTTATATACACGATAGAACAGAACGTGAAGAACTCAGCAAACGCAGAGTTTTGCCGGAGTTTGAAAACGGAAACAAACAGGGTTCTAGGATCGATTTACTGAAAGACTGGGTAAAAACTTAAGATGTTTTAGAGTTTTCTTCTGAACTCAACAGCACTTTTGAACAAAAAGGAGGAATAAGAGATGATTGTTCATTCTACATTCTAAACAAAATCATCCAGTTATTTTCCGAACACTTTATTTTTAACTTTTTAAGATTTTATCCTTCGGAAGTTTTAAAAAAACTATTTCGTAAGTTTGATGGAGTGTAATCTGACATATGTAACAGCGGTTTTGAATGCTTAGATATTTTGTTCTATAATGTTTTCAAAATAACTGAAGGAGTTTTTAGTAATAATCGCATAAAGAAGCGCAAAGTAATTTCTTCTCAAACATTGACCTAAACAGTAGTTTTAAGCTTTAAAATATATTTGCGTATACAATTTATCATATGCAACCAGATTCTGTGCAAGAATTGCAACGGGACAACTTTCCAATCCTTAAATCTCGATTTAGGCCAAATGCGTGTTTCACTTGTGTGCCATGAAAGGAGTGTTTATTCTCCTTCATTTTCAGATTTGAGAGACAGTAATATAATTATTTACTATTTGTTCTCTATACCCGACTATCAATAAAAAATATCCTGCCTATTCGTAAATAAACTAACTCAAACTGAAATGAAAAATAGGAAAATATTCATCGCTGTAAAATTATACATTGACAAATTAAAGTCAATATTAAACGTGCTTTCTCTCTTCAATATTCCCTTTGATCATGTACCATCTGAAATGAGGAAATAAAAAAATTTAATCTCTTTTCGTAACGAACATGCTATACATACCATCATCGATCTCAGAGCTGGATGAATTGGAAGAATTATCTTTAAATAAAATTAGCTCGGTATGATCTTAAATCGTATTATTGAAAAAAATAATATTGTTAGAAATCTCGCATAATCCGATTAATAAAATATAAAATAGAACCATTGGCATGGGCAAGTCATTAACGGCTGTTTGCCTCGGATCACCAGTTTGATAGCATGCCGAATATGTTGTGACATACACCAGCCCTCGTAGCTAGTATGTGGTTAGTCAATGTATACGAAGAGCTCAAGCGATTGAGCGAAAGAACTCTGAGTCAGGTTGGCCTTCTGTTCAGAGCTACGGCTAGTTTTAGTTGTAGGGAAGATATCGAGCTTACGAAACTGTCTCCAGACAGCACCCTATAAGGCGGGGTATTCTTCCTTCCTATTTTCCATCGCTATTGAAATTATCTATAACCGATAGTAACTTAACCTCACTCAAATACTTTCAACTATCTCCATCATTACACATTCTTAGTACTATCTCGAAACAACTTGTACGAAAAAATTCCTGATGAAATAATGATCACTATCAGGAGTGCCCCCCACTCGTTTGCGATCATTACTAGTTATTACTTCTCATTTTAAATAAAACAGTTTAAACTAAATATTATTATTGATAAAATCAGGACAACTCTAAATTCATCTGAATTCAATCAGTGATCTCTCTGGTATAACTTGTTTTATTGTTTATTATTTATCCAAAGAACAAAATAGTTGCTTTATGTTATTATAGGGTGCCTCTAGGCGGTTCCTCAACACTGTCTGTCAATAGCGCCCTCATCGGAGATCTCAGTAACTATGCTTGAGCATAAAAAAGAAACATGAGGAAATGAAATGTTACTTGAAGCTTGTTTAATTCTGCAATTTTCATCCAACGAATTTCAGTTCGAATTTTTAATATCCTATGTGTTCTAGTAACACTGAAGTGGATGGACTTAGCCGTCAGTCCTTATACCATATACTCTTTCACATGCTCCTGGCTGCGGATACTCCCCCCCCCCCCCCCCCCCGAGATGACAACCCCCCGGGGGGGGGTGGGCGGGGCTGATATACGAGGGCGGGGGGTGTGGGG